CCGCGACACACAGACTCTTCGATATATTTGTACAGGTGCAACAAATAACATCCTTCGGTTAATTAACAACTTGCCCCTATCCCTTTTATCAGCATAGTATGTGCTGCTCTTCCATACATCTCCATCAGTCATATCTGAATCCACTCCCTTCTTAAACATATCTTTCACACAATCCATCTATACTTTCTTCGGTCTTCCTCTACCTTTGTAGCCATCCACATTCATTACACACATCCTTCGGTAAATAACACATTATTATGTATTAACACGTTGAATACGAAACCAGGTCTAAAACACCTGATACGTATTTTGTGTGCGAATAAATGTATAGACCATAATAGACTATACATAGTTTTTAAGACAAACACAGAAAAAAAATGATAGTTTTATCTCCGGTTGTTTTACACCTGGTACCACAAAAACTGAAAGAATAGATCTCTACCGCTTTAAAGATATTAAAAAATGTCGTCATATTTAGGGAAAATACTGAAACATGTAAATATGTTACATTGTTTTAACGCTTAAACTCCAAAATTCAAATATAATTAAGAAGTCTGACAGATTTAGTGATCTGCTTGAGATTCGTCTCAGAATTTGACCGCTAAAGTCCTTTATTAGTCAATAAGGAGACATCCCTTAGCGAAGTTTTAGTATGAACAATCTCACAAAGGCACTGTAATGGACTACAGTTAGTGTTTGTCAATTTTTAAACTAAAATATATACCCGTTATCGAATTTAAATACATTTAAGTGAACAACTTTGTAGATGTTCTTTTAGTCTCTTATGTCCTAATAATAATTGTTTTCAGAAGTCCACTGGGCTTCTGTACTTCCCAGACTACTTGCTGTGCGCGTATTTCCTCGCGACGCAACACGCGCCGTTGACTGAACTTATTTCTTACGCGTTTAAGGTAAGATATATATTTACTATCTTTTTACATGTTTCTTTTTATAACATAAGGTGGCAAACGAGCAAACGGCCACCTGAAATCGCCAAAATGGCGAAGTGACCGCTGCCCATAGACATCCGCAATTGCAGATGCGTTGCCTACCCTTATCCGACGGAGGAGGAGACGCACATAAAGAGGATATTTCCCCTTCTTATGCATCTCCTCCACTGTCAAATTTTTTTCCTCTTCCCAACCTCTTTTTATAAGAAAAGGGTGGTAAAGAGAAAGGGACTTAAATTAGGCCTAGGCACCACACTCATCAGACTGTACACGGCATTGGTTCCATTTGACGCCTGTCTTCTGTATGGTCGTGGTATTACTGGGGGCGTGCCGGCCCTGCACTGCTAACATGTTAAAGCGGGCACTACCACTGTATTTTTTAACTTGCCATTTTATACTTATAACGCTTATTACGAAAACTTTGCCTTACTTATTCTATTAATTTAGAGTTAATTTTTCTAAAAATCTTAAAAAATGTCGCCGTAAACACTTGACGTAGTATACCACCTTTTAAAAATCACTAAAATACAACTGTTAAAAAAATTATTCTAAGATACTTTTTAACGTAAAACATTGCTTTTGACGAGTTTTAATTAACCATTAAAACCATTATTCTAAGATATTTTAACACATTGCAGTTACAAGTTTTAATAAACCATTAGAAAATTTATTCTAAGATACTTTTTAACGTAAATAATTTCAGTTATACGATAGTTCCGGTACCGGAAGTATTCCGATGGTGGACTTCGAGGAGATAGCCACTAAATGTATGGGCTTGAGCGTGCAGGACGCACAGAGCATCTTCCAACATGCTGACTTACAGAAAAATGGATTTTTGACTTACGGTAAGTTCAAATAAACTTACCCTAGGGTAATTTTTATAATGGTAGTTATAAGATGGAATATAAAGTTGTTATTGTCGTTTATTATTAAGACAAATTTATCTAATTGTCAAAGAGATTAAAAAAAATATACAAGTGTTAACTTCACTTATTTTAACACAAATAAATAATTCAAACACTGAGAAGCGTCTCAGTGGGTCTTTGAATTAAATTATTACCGTACGAAGAAGTTACCAGTGAAATTATTACCTGTCTAGTCTATGTCTATACTAATATAATAAAAAGGAATGATTTATATTTGTGAATGTTTGTATTTATTGTAATAACGCAAAAACTATTGGACCGATTTCAAAAATTCTTGTACCATTAAAAAGCTATGTTTTTATTTTATTTTATTATTTATAAATAACTTTACAACTAACTTACAAAAAAATAAAAGAAACAAAAAACTGAAGACCAATTACAAGTTATCGGAGATAGTTACAAATATAGATTATAATGAAATTCACTCTTTGTTAATTGTATATATAACATAGGCTATAATTTTAATTTCACGCAGACGAAGTCGCGAGCAATAGCTAGTATTCCTTAAATGTTTTGTATTTTACAGGTATTTTATTAATTTACCAAATAATTATTTCAGATGAATTCATATCATACGCTCGGAAGCGTTCAGATTTGTCGTTCATCTTCGTTAGCGACGTCTCTCAGAAGCCCAAGTCGCAGTGAGATGAGACACACATACCCACCGTCTGCGGTCAACTGCCAACTCCGCAATGTCACACAAGTGTGTGAGTCTGCAAGTGTGGCCCAAATGAGCTAGTACGATACAGCGTATAAGTATGCAAGTGTGATACATAATTGTACACTTATACTTGCGCAAGTGTGATACAAATGTGCTAGTATGGCACAAGTCTATGAGTGTGCAAGTGTACCACAAATTTATAAGTGTGCAATTTTGACACTTTTGTGCTATAAATATGCAAGTATGACAAGTGTACAAGTATGGCACAAGTGTTTGAGTGTGCAAGTGTGGCCCATGTGTATTACAATTAAAATTGTATGCCACAAATGTGCTACATATAAGCTACAAGTGTGCGTGTATAATACAATAGAACCTGGATGAGCGAGAAATGGATAATAGAAGTACCTCTAAGAGAAACTCAGATTCAATTCCAATTAGATTCTCGCTTACTGAGATTCGACTATCGTATTATCTTCATTTTAGATTATTACTAATGGAATTGCATTAAACTATGGTATTTTGTAATAGTATTATTAAATTTTTGTTGTTTATTTTTACTGTACTATTAATATTTGTTTGACTAGTTTTATTATTATGAGATTGTTTTTATAACGTAATGTTTGTTTGTTTTATATGAGATTATTTTGCGTTTTAAATATATTTATTTATTACACAAATATTAACGAGGCTATATAGTTGCATAATTTAATTTAAAAATGTAATAAAAAAATAAAATTTGTAAAATATTGAAGCCTACTACAGATGTTCAGTTTTAACTGAATAATTGAACTTTTAGGAAACAAAGTGCAGTACAATTTTAACTGTTAGTTAACTTACAGCGTTTTAACTTTTTTTTTTGTTATTTTATTATCTGCAATCAGTCTTTAAAACTTTTAGCAAATGTGAGGAAGGATTAAGTTTTCAGAACATTTTCTCCATCGAGAAACTTCTTCTTTTTCAGAAGATCCTAAAGGATCTATTTCTTAGATAATTGTGGCCCTTTTGAGTCTCCTTCTGTGACCACATTTTGGTAGGACTGCGACCAAGGGATTGTGGTGGTCTGCAATTCGGTTTTTATAGCGCTCAGCAATAGATATAATTTCCTGCTGGATGGTGTTCACTTTTAAAACCTCATGTACCTCTGAATTTCTAATGAACCAGGGAGCATTCGTGATGGTCTTAAGTACACGGTTTTGCACCCTCTGTATGATGTTTAAATTTCACTAAATTCGATACCGTTTTAACTAAATTCGATAATTCAGTTAAAAATATCAGAAGAGCGTATACAACAAGCTTTAGCAACCATCTTTGTCTATCCAATTAGGACTAGAAGAACTCGTTATTTCAAGAAAGTATTAAAGTGAAAAAAAAACTTTTTCCCAGCACTGTACATAATTTATAACTGCAAGTTTTATTCTAGAAAATTAACAGTAGAAAAGAAATATGGCGTCCTGCAGACAAAAGGGTATGTGAAATAATTCAGATTTAAAATTTTAGTCCGTATTTATTAGATAACTTAAAAATTTGACTTCAAAAGTACGCTCACACCTTCGCTTAAAGTAATGTAGTTAAAATTACTATTAAGAAAAAAATAAATATATTATGAGGCTATTATTTGAATAAAACTAAAGGTTAAAGATAATAATTTGAAGGGAATTCAGTTGTGTACATACTCCTTTCATTTTTTAACCTATTATTACTATTACAATACTAAAAAACTGACAGATTTTTCCAATTTTTATTTAATGTAAATAAAATCAAAGCTTACAATGAATAGTTCAATATAGCATTTTTTGTACATATAAAAGTATGTTTCGCTTAGCATATATGCTAATAAAATATAGGGTTTATTTAATTATGTAGTGTATATGCCATTTAACTATGTGATAACGTAACGCTAAGGGCCTGTACCACCATTGTAAATTGTCTGATTTTAATCCAACGTGTAAAATGTGATGGAAATATGCAATTTTGTTACCTTATCTGAAAGTGACGTTATTTTTAAGCTATCTGAGACTATCAGCCAGTGGTGGGACAGGCCCTTAACATGTAACTTCATAAAAATATATTTTTTTAATATCATTTAACAAACTTTCGTTTTGACACTATACGCAATATTAACAATTTAAATTTGTTAAAGTTAAAAATGTTATCAACAATTATAATCATATATGAAAACTAAAAGTAACATTAATAATCAAGACACTTGAGATTTCTATAAATAAAGTTACACTTTCACGCTAAAGTGTACACTTTTTAATTGAAGTGTATTGTACACTTCAATGTACACTTTTTCATTGAAGTCTACAATACACTACATACATTAAGATTAAAAAAATGTTGAATCACTCATGAACTTGTAAAGTACATTTTGTAAATAATTTAAAGTAGTCTAGTTCAAATGTTAATTCAAGTGTTAAACTGAGTTAAATTAACGTAGGAATTACATTTACTAGGAAATATACCATAAGGGAAACGTATAGATTGAGAGAGCCAGATAGAGGTCGTGAAAGGGAGAGAGAATAGTTCAAAAACCTACAGTAATTATTACTGAGATTTTTATTGACACATCAAAAACATCACAATAATTTTATTAAAACTATAATTTTTATTGTATCTATATAGTTTGTAATAATTATCAAATTATTGTTTTAAGTATTAAAACTGTTTTATTTATAGTCATTATATAATTTAAGTATAAGTATTACTAAACTCTAGCCTTAAACCATTCCTTAGCTGATGTAAATGAAATTTAGGCGTAACTATTTATTCAAATATAAAGTAGAAAATAATGTCTTTTATTTCATTCATCTATAACCAAAAACCTACAAAAAACAACGTATTTAAATGTTACAATAATAGTTATTTGTTAAAGTGTAACGGAACGTATACGTCAATCTCTTTTGACATGTCTACTCTTTGACCATCTTATTTGACACATCAACCAATGACTTATCATTGATGTGGCGCCACTGTTGATGTTATACCAAAAATGCAGCTAACAAATGTGGTGTTGTGGCTCGATCAAATAAAAATAAACTCGTTATCTATCGCTGTTTTTAATATTTACACCATTTTACAAAAAACACATCTTGTTACATCGTCGTTTCTCCTTTTTTTCTCTGACTCTCAACTTAAAACTTATTTTAAACGAACGTCAAAATATAAAATTCGAAATCAATTAAAAAGAAAACATATTAAAAAGAAATATATTTAACCTCTTTATAACCTCTTACAACCTCCTTATCCTACACAAATTATAGATGGCGCTTAATCTAAAATTTGCAATGTGGTTTAATTTGGGGGCTGCCTTGAAATGTTGTCTTTTGGGCCTAAAGCGCTAGTACAATTTGGTCTCTGAGATTACAGGGATGTTATTTGGTATGAATTTGGTCCTGAAATTATGAGTCCTAAAGGATTATCCTAAAAATAAAATTCTATCACTGATTTTTGTAATAAATTCTTAAGCCATGTATGTCAAGGGCGAAAGTTTTTCAAATCTCTTACCTACTTTAAATACGTTTGTAGTTGCTTCAAGATCTTAACATCTCTGACGCCGAAATAAAACCCCTAATCTTCTAGTTAAGTTCTACGCTGTATTTTAGCACCTCTTTTTAGTTTAAAGATGAGAATTTGTGGTGAGACAAGTTTCTAGAATATGTCGAATGAAATCTTCTTTTATTTATTTCGAATACATGCTTTGTGGTATAATTACGTTTAATATAATCGACGTATGAAAATAGGTAAAAACTGCTTTCAAAAGACATAAGTGTATTGATTTGTAGAGGAAATGCGGTCGCACGTCGTTGGTCTGTGCCCCGCATATTGCTCTTGCAGGGCTGGCACGCGGGATAGATGACCTGGATTCCTAGTCTATAGACCCGAACCTAAGGGATAACGTACTTAAGGATGATAAACGACGTAACATAAAAACTAATAAAAATATGGTTGAAATCAGACGAGAATGGGATTACCTTTCTTTAAGTATAACAAATTGTATAGAAACTATGTAGTTCATGTTAATAAAAGCAAAGAAGATAAAATGAATTATTACAATCCTTGCAGTGCACAAAAACAAAGCTCAAAGTCAAAGGTCAACGGAGAGGGCAAAATTCAGTGTCACTGCGATATTGTATCAACAATTACGATCTATAAAAAAAAAACAAATTAAATAATATTGTCCGAAAAATGACAATATATAGGGGAGATTTAAAAGCCTTTTAATGCGAATTTACAGTAAGGGACTTTTAAATAACTTTTAAACGACGGATTCCAAATACAAAAAAATGAGTGAAAAATGTCTTCTTATATACGCACTGCTGATTTCCTCTGGAATCGAACCCCAACATCTCTCCCGTTATGGTCGATAGAAGGTAATCGCTAAATAATTCGTCACTGCCTAAGGCTCAATCTCATATTTTATTTGAACAGAAAGAAAACTTGGTCAAACGCTGGCCCGTGCCCGTCAATATGCCCCGTCTCCACTCTCGAAACATTCTCTACATTTTCCATCCCTTTCGAACGCAACCCCTGATGCATCAAAGAGTAAAAATTGTTAATTTTATAGTTTAATGCCTAATAGCAACAAATCTAACAGGTTACTGATTGACTTTAAAATTATTATAAAGACATTGGCACATATTTATTTTGTACATCGTTAATTTTTATCCGCATTTAAATAGCAGAAAAACTCTAACACGAAGCACTACCACATACTTTCACGCACACTTCAAAACTGTCCAGATATTTACTCTACTTTTGCTGAAATAATAAATAAATATGTAACTAAATACAATATTTTTAAACATATTTTCAAGCACCTCTGTACATTTATCTTTGACTTATAGTAACGGAGTGTAGGGGTTTCCTACCCCTCGGCGGCAACGGCGGCAGTCGGCAGTGTACTAGGCTGCCGGACCCGTCGCGTTCCCCGCACCCCCCACAACAACAAACACGACATTATGTGACGAAAACGAGATTAACATGCGATTACTATCAAACTATAGAAATACTAACCACTCTAATCGTAGTGAAAAAGGTATTGATATTTGAGTGTGCCAGTGTTACCCTGTCGACCGCGTTTTCACCTGAAACTGTAATTAAAGGTAAGCTTAAAGCCTCCCCACTATTATATTACGAATATTTAATTTGTATCTTTAATGTATTTATTGGTACTATTAAAATGTAATTTCTCAGCTTATATAAACTTTTATATTATGTACTTATTGATTAATTATTCCGAAATTTTTTAACTACACAAACCTTTATTTAACTACAATATTTATGCGAAAATAAATAGCAATTTGTGCTAGTAACATTAAAAATGTTAGATTTGATTAGAGCCTACTAAAATTATTAACCTCATTTACCTATTTTGTGTTCAGATGTTTGTTAAAGTTTGTAGCCTAAACTACTGAATGGATTTCGATGAAATTTGGCATAGTTCTAGACGATAGTCTGGAAGAACTCATAGACTTACTTTTTTTATGGACGGAGTCGCGTGCGAAAACTAGTAAGACATAAAGTCACAGGCAAACAACAAACCTTTGACCTTTCTCCGAATTGTTGCA